ATAGGATTACACATGTATCTTTTATGTTTCTGAGAGAGATCGAGAGGGTAGGGGGAAGAAGAGATAAAGAGATATGAAAGGGTAACTGAGAGAGAAAGAGAGGGAGAGGGAAAGATAGAGAAAAAGATAGTGGTAATTAATGGTAATCCAGAGAAAGATGGGATGTGCATGTAGGTTGAAGTCGCAGAGGTAACTGTAATAGGATTATGTATGTCCCCCCCCCCCCCTCAATAAAAAAGGAATTTTTACCGACTTGAAAAGAGAGTAGAAGTAGAAATGTACATACAGGAAGAGAGAAGGAAATATAATGCAGATAATGCGTGTGTGACACTAAATTTAATGCATACGTCTTTGTGAAATGCCTCAATACAAATATTTTATTCACCTGTAATGAATAATTATATTTCAATTGTCAAAATGCAAAATGCATAATTATATTATGTGTTGCTAGGAAGGGCAAGCCATAATGTTTATCCTACATGGCAACAATTATTTATGTATGTGTACGTGTATGCAGTATGGTTTTCGATTTGATTGTACTATTGTGTGTAGAGGAAAGATGGGGATAATGAAGAGAAATAGAAGAAAGAGGAAATAGAGCAGATATATGTGAGATATGCGAGCAGACATACATGTACATGTAGAGAAAAAGATGGAAATCAGAGAAGATAGAGAGAAACAAAGAGAGAAGAATGAATATGAGTAGGGTAGGAAATTAATCTTGGAAAGAGACAGAAAATATAAAGGAGAGATATTCTTCACGTAGGATTGCAAAAAGTGCACACAAGACCAGTAGTCAAAATATCAAGAAAGATACAAGAATGGAGAGAGAGAGAGAGAGAGAGAGAGAGAGAGAGAGAGAGACAGGCAGAGACAGAGAGAGAGACAGAGAAAGAGAGAAAGAGGCAGAAAGAGACAGAGAAAGACAGAAAGAGACAGAAAGAGACAGAGAAAGAGAGAAATTGAGAGGGACAGACACAGGAAGACAGAGATCTTCAGACAAAGGAGAGAGATAGGGAGAGAAGATCAAAGTGAATATGTGTATACTGTATGTATTAATGTGAGAAGTAATTTTCATAAAAGCATCTACATGTACATGTACTTTATAGACTCAGAATTCAGTTTTAAACCTACATGTATATATATGCAATGTAATGTAAGAGCTCATATTTCATGCTCCTTTAGCTCTCAGCAGACAATATCATAATGATATGATTACAAAATTACAGTAAACAAATAATATTGTTTCATTACTTCTCCAAAATTAGCTTTATAGAGCCTCATTTGATCTCATCATACAGGCATCTGAACTCCCATCCTTTAAGCTCTAAAGCAGATGATATCATTATCACATACTGCATATTTGTACATCTCTCAAAAAATTACTGATGTTGCATCATCATCGAACAAGCCTGTTAACACTGAACGCTTTAAAAGAGCAGTACATATATAACATAATTATTGATGTTGCATCCTCATTGAACTATTCTGTTAACACTGAACGCTTATATTTAAAAGAGCTGTACATCTCTAACAAAATTATTGATCTTGCATCATTATTAAACTATCCTGTTAACACTGAACGCTTATATTTAAAGAGCAGTACATCTCTAACAAATTCATTGATGTTGGATCCTCATTGAACTATCTTGTTAACACTGAACGCTTTAAAAGAGCATACATGGTACACGCCTAGATGTCTCTTTGTTAGATGTGAACATACATGTACATGTAGTCTTAGTTTTCACAAAGTGGCAAGCATACACGCTTCTATTCACTGTTGCTACGACAACCACCAGTGAAATAGTTTGAAAAGGAGGTGTTTCGTCATTTCTTCCATTTTCTTTATGTCTCCTTGTTTCTTGTTCTTTTTTAAATGTTCTTTTCTAGATTTATTTATAGGATACATTATCTATTTTTCTGTCGCTGATCAGGAAGAGGAAAAAAGGGAATAATATATCCTCGTTATAAGAGGGAGATAGACAAGAGTGACGGGTAGAAATCTCTCTCTCTCTCTCTCTCTCTCCCCCTCTCCCTCTCTCTACCTCTCCCTCTCTCTCTCTCTCTATCTCTCTCTGCCAAGGAAACACAAATAAAGGCAACATATCTTCATTATATGAGAGAGATGGACAGGGGTAGAGGAGGTAGAATATGATAAATATATTCTGTCTATTATATAGTAGAGGGATCTTGATTTTCTGAGAGAAACAGATAAATGTGAAGGCGGTAGAATATAATATTTGTTTCTGTCCAGGTTCTCCAAAATTAAGATGGACATATCATCATTATATCATAATGGAGAAATAGACAAGAATGAGGGGTAGATCATAGTATAATATCATTTTTTTCTGTTCAGGATCTAATCTGATGTCTTTATTTATTAACGTTATTTTTTATCTTGCCTTTCTCTCCCTCAATTTATGTCTGTCTATCTCTCTCTCTCTCTCTCTCTCTCTCTCTCTCTCTCTTTCATTTCTCCATGACCAAACTGTTTATATGTATTCTCTCCCTCTTGTTGTTGTACATGCAACAATATTCAATGCAATTTATACATGTTATCACAATGGGGTCGAATTCACAAGATCTTTAAATAGATCTTTAATCTGATCCCACTCAATTTATGTTACTTAAAATGCTTTTAACTCATGATTTTACTGTGTCCATCTTTTTATATCTGTCTATGCGTTCATAGGCAATTTTATGTATCTGTTTTTATATATTGAGTGAATAAATGAATCAAATTAAATTGAATCTAAAAAATCTCTCTATATACAGGGATCTTCATTATATTAGAGATATGGAAGTGGGTAAAATATACATATATGTAATTTTTTTTAAATTAGTTGACAAAGCCCTAAGAGCAAAAATTTGTAAAAACATTTCCTGCATGGAGCATCATTATTCCTGTATTTTTATGTATTTTCTCGAACTCTGAGTAGAAATCTAGATTTTCTTCTACGTAATATTTATTTTTCTGTCCATGGTCTCAAAAATATAAAGAGAAAGATACATGTATCTCCATCATACGAGTACGATGGACAAGAGCACAGAGGGTGGGTAGAAAATACTGCCCAGTTATAATGACCAGAGTCTAAAAACAATAAGATGGCCATATTTTCATTATAAATACGAGTTGGGCAAGCCGACCATCTGACAATCATAACTTTGGTCATTAGCGGCGGCATGATGGACGGCAAGATAACTAATGGCCATGCTCATTATCCCAACGATGGATATAAATATTAAGACTGCAAGACTATCAAAATAAAATCCACCAGATACAGAGAGAGGGAAAAAAATTCACCAGAGATGGACATAAATCAACAACAAAACCAGAGCCTCTTCAAATTTTGTGTGCAGGTCACAATAATAATAATAAAAACGGTGCTTATAAAGCGCTTACCACCAAAGTCTCTAATCACTGTGTGTTCATCTACTGGAGAAAAAAATTATAATCTTTAACATGTGAATTTCTTTTGAACAAGAGTATTATTTTCAAGCTGAGCCATATGGAGATATTAAATGGGAATTAATTCTTCAAAAAAGTTCGCCTTTAATTCTAATACAAACATTTAGGAGGAAGATTACTGAGAGTTTTTGAAAAATCGGTCCACATTATTATGGGAACATGCATTTTTATTTCTAAGACCAATAATATCAGTATTTGAATAATAATAGTCACATTTGTATAGTGCTTAACACTACATTTTTAAGCGCTTTACATCGTAATTATTCCTTTACATAAAAAAGTCTGCACTCTCAGACTAGGATGACCTCATTTTCAGGTGCTAAGAAAGAAATGAAAGGTGCGTTTGTACCAATCTTGCCATATCTTTCCTTGAAATTCTTTGCTTTATATACGGTGTAGCAATGGTGCCCATAACAAAAACAGTCTGCACTTACAGACTAGACTGACCTGGTTTCACAAGGGCCAAGGAAAAAATGCAGGTGTGTGTAAGGGTTCTAGAATATCCTGCTTTATTATCATTTTCCGCTGTATCCTCATATTAAGTATAAATTGCAGTAAAGAGAGAGCGAAGACGGAAAAAACTGACAATAAAACAATGGACTAACGGACAGACTACTCATACGTGTGGCATAAAAATGTGGTCCTCATTTTTAAGCTTTTACATGTCACATTTAGAATATGAAGGCATTTGAAGAACCACGCTTTTCAGGGAACATTTTTTTTCTCTGATGTTCTTCCACAATTGCATATTAAAGGTAATACAAAGTTTTGGGAAATTTTGAAAATTGGGTGGATAGTGAATCTTTACAATTTTGATATATTTTGATGCCCCTGTGGATGTATTATAAGCACTAAAAAAATTAGCCCCTGAAACACTTCTTTTCGAGAAAAATTGAATATAAAAATTTACCGGTGCTCCCTGTAAATTTTGATAAATTTCAAATAGCGCCTACGGCCGTACAATGCTAGCTGCGACCATGAAAATCTCAGAATATGTAGTTGGGATATATAATTTCCAAACGGGAATAGCTAATCAGTCGGTTTTAGTCAAGAAACATTGTTTCATAGCTAAATTAATATTTTGACCTTGAGAGGAAGCTATACAACATAAAGAGTTTATTATTTATAATTTCATAACTTTAGACTCGATTTCAACCGCGACAACGATCAATGTACATATATTGTAGGAACGCATATGCTTCCAATATGTTAATGTGAACCAAATTCATGACCCATACCAAAACTTTGTAATACCTTTAACAATGAAAACACTCACAAATTATTTGTTCACCTCTCCCCAGAACTCAACCTTCTCTTTAAAGCCGCACTGCCCTACTTGTAGCTACTTGCACCCTCTACATGTATATAGCAAACAATGCCTAATCGGTGACCATTGGTCCCCCATGATCCTCTTTTTCTTATGTTAAGTGGGAGCTGATATGATAACCACCTGTCAGTGACCTTGCAGGGTGGTCTAATCCCTCCTGTAAACTAGTACAGATGGGCTTTAAGATTATCACAATTAACTGACCTTCTTGCCATCTGCTGTACACAGTCTCTTGATAGGCACTTTAAATGTCTCACTGATGTCGGCTAGAACGTCCTCAAAACTCTGAGCAGTACGTCTGTTCAACAGCATCATGTGCTTGGTTTGCGGATCTCCATTTATCATTACAATGATCTGTAAACATAAACCACAAGACAACGTTTTTTTTACCAGAATATAAATGTACACAGTATAAGTTTGATCAATTACTATTCATTATTCTTTAAAGATGAAGATTGCATTGTGAAAGAAACGGTATGGAATCGATCAGAAAAGGTTGACTATCTAGCATATAAATATGGTGTGTACTGCAAGGTTCTGGAATCATCAAAATTATAAGAAATTTGGCCCAGTCTTGGTAAAGTTACAAGCACTGTACACAGAAAGATGTATGTGGGACTACAGGATTATATGTGGGATAAAAATCTGTCCCGATTTTTATGATGTTACATGCCATATTTAGAATATCAAGGCATTTAAAGAGCCATGCTTTTCAGGGAACATTTTTTATCTGATGTTCTTCCACACTTGCATAATAACAATGATTATGATAACTCTCACAAATTATTTTTACCTCTTCCCAGAACTCAACCTTCTCTTTAAATATACATAAAAGTCAAATTCACACATGAAGTGCATTTTATAGGAAGTACATCGTTTGGTTTTAAATACTTTACTAGGTAATATGGTATCAGGAACAAATGCAACATTGAAAGCATTACGAAACATTTGGTCTGATTCAATTCTACTAAGATACATGTACAGTAATTCATGACATTAAAAATTTCTTATATGTCAGAAAGCTTTCTAGAGAAAAAAAATAGCTTGAAATTTCCTTAATTATACATTCCAATGCCAGAAATACAGTTTTGGTGCTACGCCGGTATTACAGTAGGAACAAATAGAATATTGAAACTAGCATTACATAACATTTGGTCTGATTTAAATTATAGTACAATTCACTAATTTATCAAATTAAAAGTTTGTAAATATGTCAGGAAGTATATCTAGAGAAAAAATAGCTTGGAAATTAATTATTCATTCTACGTTACAATGCCAGAAATACAGTTGTGGTGGTACGATACTGTTCCTGTGCCCATATAGTTTTTTTCCATTGCTTACTAAAGCTCTACAAAACCAAGTGTTTATGGGCTGAATGATCCTCTGAAATTCAGAAGGACACCCCCCCCCCCCCTCACCCCCACCTAAATTCCAACAATTATTCAAAGGTAAAGCAAGACTAGTTTATTATGTTTTCTAGTATGTATTTTCTATTTAAGATCACCTTAAAGGTATTACAAAGTTTTGGTATGGGGTCATGAATTTGATTCAAATTAACATATTGGAAGCATATGCGTTCCTACAATATACATTGATCGTTGTCGCGGTTGAAATCGAGTCTAAAGTTATGAAATTATAAATAATAAACTTTTTATGTTTTATATCTCCCTCTCAAGGTCTAGATATTAATTTAGCTATGAAACAATGTTTCTTGACCAAAATCGACCGTTTAGCTATTCCCGTTTGGAAATTATATATCTCAACTACATATTCTGAGATTTTCATGGTCGCAGCTACCATTGTACGGCCATAGGCGCTATTTGAAATTTATCAAAATTTACCGGGAGCACCGGTAAATTTGTATATTCAATTTTTCTCGAAAAAAGAAGTGTTTTAGGGGCTAATTTTTTTAGTGCTTATAATACATCCACAGGGGCATCAAAATATATCAAAATTGTAAAGATTCACTATCCACCCAATTTTCAAAATTTACCAAAACTTTGTATTACCTTTAAGCCTGAAGCAAATACAATGTGAATGGACATAAAATATTTCAGGCTTGTTGTGAAACTTTCTCTATTCTTTGGAAAGAATTACAGAAATGGGAACATCTTTACCTTTTTGGGTGTGTTAGGTACTCTCTGTTGAATGTTTCCTAGAGGCTCACCCCCTGCCGCTCCATTGGCGTATCCATTCGTGTGAGGGGGCGACACTGAAGACGATCCATAGGACTTGATAGAACCATTCCCGTAGTTCAGGGGCTGTGCCGCCGCCAGCTTGAGTTGCTTAGTGTTCCTCCAGACCCGGGGCTTCGACACCTTGTCAATGTTCAGCGGCTTCTTCTTCTTGTCGGAGACGACGTAGGAGCGCCCGTCCTCCAGGTCGGTGATTTCCTTGACGTCATGGACTCCACCGGGGGTGAAGACGTTCCTTGCGGCGAACGGAAGCGACACCTTGGAGGTCAGCTCCTGCAGGAGAGCGTCAAAGCTCGGGTAGCGCCGCTTAGTCACTGCCAGGCGCAACCCGCTGAAGTTGGTGTCGTTCTTGTAAAATGTTATGACTTTGGCTTTGGAGGCCCGGGCCTTTGCGTCGCCGCCCTGGCCCGGGCCTTTTTGAGGATTCATCTTAAAAGAGTGTCAATTATGGCCACTTCGTTTTTATAATAAGTCACTCATTGTTCCGCTTAATGTACATGTATACATGATGCACAGTGCATGAAATCCTGAAAGACAAAAATATAGAAATATTTTTTAAATTGCTGTGTTGCGTTTACACATTTAAAATATTAATTATTTTTTTTAAATAGGTCAAGCAAAGTGTCTTTTAAAAGGCTTTTCACAATACGAAATAGAGCTTAGAGAGATTTCAATATATGTTAGGAAAAAACATATCACTTCTACAGGTTAAGAAGAATTACAGGATTATGCTATGTTAGGTGTAATACATATATCCATATACAGATTTAATATGAACTACTTAAAAGGTAAATCAATAAATAGTACATCCCTGTAGCATTGTTACACAAATATAGCAAAGCAAATGTGTTTTCTCCAAAATTTACATTTCAGTTCACACCACTTTCACTGTACACTGTTGAGAATTTGCAAAATGTCTTTACTACAAGATGCAAATGCTTCCATTCATTATACATTTTTTCTTAAACTGATCTTTTACATTAAGGAATTAAGGCTCATCAATCAGAAGAAAAGGAAATAAAAACATGATGTAGTATTTGATTTTTATGGCTTCCAAAGAAAAGGAAATCAATTTTCTATGCAGAGTTCTTGCTGAAACTTCAGCACAATAAATCCATTCAATTCATTCTAAATTGTAAGCTTCTTGGGTCAACAGACGCAAGCCACTTGAAAGAGAAATGTATCGAAGATTTGAAGATTTGTAAGGGTTTGTAGAAAAGAAAAAATACCAACACAGTATGTAGCATGTCAATATAGAAACAAGGCACCTTCAAAACACATATACAGGAGTGTTTTATGAGTAGAGTAACGAGATACCAGGCGGAAGGCCGTCACGTAGAATTTGGCTTTCGACCACGGCTTGAGCAAATAAAAATCCAAACCTGCCAATTTTCTATCCCCACTTTTTTTCTGTGACAAGAGAAGCACGGAAGATACGAGATGTCTTAGCAAGCGGCGGCCGGCGATGTGGAAAGCATCTAGCTTACACCTATCATCTCGCTCCAGCCACTAATGAATTCTTAAAGACAGGTCCCCTACTTCAGCTTGACGTTATCCGTAACCACGGCAACCAAGAAATAAATCATCCTCTCATGAGCAGCTAATTGGAGGAAAATGCATGTTGTTGTCATGGCGATGTAAATGTGGACAATCAAGGAATTTTGAGGAGGGGAATAGGAGGACCATAAAATACTATTGCAATGTTCACACATTGTCTGCATTTCTTTACTTTTTTTGAAAGGTACAATGTACTATTCAACACTGTACTTTTTAACAATGTACTATTCCCTTTTTTTTTAAACCCTGGCAATTAAAAAAAAAAAAATTGTTCTTTTGTTCTCGTTTTCCTGTATGTGTGTGTTTCAGGGGTAGGCTTTTATATAAGGAATCCCTCCTTTCTGCCTATCCCAAATGCTCTTATAAATTGCCATTGTATTTGTTATCACTTTCTTGCTTTTTTCATAACTCCATTCTGTATTTGTATGTTTTAAATGTTTTTTATGAAGAGTGTTGAATAAACTTTGAATTTGAATTTGAAAAAGAGGATTATCTGAATAGCGAAAGTGGTATGAAATATTGCTGAACTTTCATGTACGGTACATTAGTACATGTATCTCTATTGTTATGAGGGTACACATGTATAAACGATTTGAGACTTTATTTCTACAAATTTCTACAAAATTTTCAACACAAATTATTATCATTCTCACCAAAAATTGAAGGTATTAACTCAGTTATTAAAGTCAGGAAAGTACAGCTCTGTACAATGTTGAAAAGATAATTTTGCTCAAACTGTCACTGAACTGTTTCTCTCATTTTCTGCTTCTATTAAAAACAACTTAATATCAGGGTGGTCTTCCCCTTTAAGTGGGACTTTAAGTGGAACAATTACCCCGTCCATGGCTATGAGTCAGAGGATGGTCAGAGAAGCCTGAAGTGCGCCAGCATCTTGGATTCCCAAGTAAATTATAAATTCCAGGACAAATCTAAACAAACCAGTAGAAAGGGCCTGAATAAAGAAGAGGTGTGGTTTATAATTTTCTGATAGAAAGAACACAAGTGAGCTCATGGAAAGGTCGGGTCTGGAAGAAACTTTGGTGGAAGTGGTAAAGAGAAGTGGATTGAGATGGATGAGACTTGTATTGAAAAGGGAAGATGATAATAATACTACAGCATTTACTATGCGCACTCGATCAAGTAAACCTGTGTAAAGAGCGTGGGATTTGGAAGTGGATGGCATAAGAGGGAAAAGGAAGACTGGATGATTCATTGAAAGACATGGTGAAGAAAGAAAGCAGTAAGGTTGGTCTAAATGAAGAGAAGTGGAGGGAGGAAGACAGTCAGTAACCCCTCGTAAGAGGGAAAATGCTGACTTTAATAAATGATAATGATAATGATGAAGTAGTATTCAAATATGATAATAAAAATTAAAAATGTCCAAAAATGGCAGTTGGATCCCATCTTTTATTCTGGAATTACAAATAATGTATTCTACACAATATTACCTTCAATGAGGTAGGGACTCATGCATGAACTGCTTGAAAGGACGACAATTTATCAACAAATTTGTCGACCTTGAAATTACATCGGTTTTATCAAAAGCAGAAAACAAGTGAGTGTAAATTTGAGAAAAGTTTGAAAGTTTGAGAAAACAAGGATAAGATGGATACATGTACATGTACATGTATATGACTTTTTAACGTTGCTGTTGATCAAATGCAAAATTGCAACTCTGTGACATGTATTTTATTAAAGCATCTCTCGCATTTGCTTTGAACTGAAAATTCCATGAATTCTAAAATCTTCCATTATCATCATTGTTGATGGAGAAATTGATTCTATTTATAGACAGGATGTGTGTGAAAACATGTGTCCAATAATTCATATCGAGGGCAAAGGGTTATTGAAATATTTTCTACAGGTAAAAAATTCAAGTCTCTTTTTCAATTATACATCATGTGTACAATGTACTCTGCTCCACCAGGGATATGGTAGTCATATCAATCTTTACAGCATAAATCATGTATTCTAATTTAAAATTGATGTTACCCTGTACATGTACCTGCCACTGTAAAACAATTTGGATATGATTGCTTTTCAGCTTTGAAAAGGGCAGTGGGAAAGAACGATGAATATTTAATAATCTCTATTTGAAAATGGTTTTTCAACAAACAGAATGGCCCTTGAATTTTGTTTGATACAAACAATTGGAATTCATGTGTGTAAAACATTATATTATTCCTTTTAATCTATTCCAGCATTCATTCATATATGTTAAACTGAAGCCTAGTTTTGATGACAATTCTTTTTTCTTCTTCATCATATCATACTAGCAGTGTAACCAATGAAATTTACCCCAAATAATCATCTTCTCTCTCTCTCTCTCTCTCTCTCTCTCTTGCTCTCTCTCTCTCTTTGTCTCTCTGTCTCTCTCTGTCTCTCTGTCTGTGTCTGTGTGTGTGTGTGTGTGTGTGTGTGTCTCTCTCTCTCTCTCTCCCTCTCTCTCTCTCTCTCTCTCTCTCTCATTCTCTCAACCCCATGTTCTTATTTTCTAATCTCTTCTCTCTCTCTCTCTCTCTCTCTCTCTCTCTCTCTCTCTCTCTCTCTCTCTCTCTCTCTCTCTCACTCACTCCCTCTGCAGGCAAGAACATAGAGTTTATATTTTAAATACACTTTTTATATCATACACACACCCTACTTGTTCAGTTGGTATTAAACTGTACATACATTATATATACATATTGCACTTTGAAATAATGAAACATCAACATGTAGCTACTAAAGCCGTGATGAACTATAATCCATGCACAAATATCCTCATTACAGTACACTTAGTTCATTGTTTGCTGAGTCCAAGAGACTACTACTAACAGCACTGATATCATAATCTGTTGACTGTTGCCTAGCAACATAAAACCTTGAGCAAAGAGCATGGGAGCATTGCATGCCTGTGTACTTAGCACAGATTCTTTTGAAATTTTGATGGATTACAATTTTGACAGTCCAACCAAGATGGTCATGCACTGTTGAGTACATGTGTATGTATACGCTTGCAATTTGTAAAGATACAAGTACGGTAGGCTCATTTATAGAGTCAAGATCAAAGTAATAAGGACACGTTGATGTTCATATATGACTCTTGCAGGCTAATCTTGACACAATGGAACTTGTGGTTCTTTTGGATAATTAAATAACCTTCAACCTTTAAAGGGATCCGGTAACTTTGTCTCAGATTCTGAAATAAAATTCTGGATTTAGCTCATGATGCAATGATAATTATAAACCTTTAGGTCAGTCAGGAACCCCATGACTTTTACAAGCCGATCGCCTGTCTGATTATCAAGATATTTATGATTGGAATTACAAATTTTGAAAACCGTTCGCCTGACGGTTTTCATAACACTACAGTCTATTGGGGAAAACAAGTATGGTAAAACCGGTCACTCAAAGATTTTTACTTTTTTGAGGCACTTCTTGATCATTTTGAAGCGCAATTTTTTTAGGGCTTCAATATTACACCATACCACAGACACTGATAACACGTAGGGCCGTGTATCTCAGATTTAACATTGTTAAACGATCCCTTTAACCATGAAGTTGTAATCTAGATGTAATTTAATTCACTCATGTTTAATGGTGTATTGCATGATACACGGGTGGAATTCTTTTCTTTTCCAAAAAGGAGAAACAATGGTTTAATTCAAGAAATACTCCTCCATCACTTTGTATTGTTAATTTTGCACATAGTGGGACCTCTAGTTTTAAGCTCAGCAGATATTTAGGGTCATTTGTATGAACTCGGCTATTGTCAAAATGTTGAGAACTCCATGAAAGTTACACGTAGAGGTGTTGTGGTCCAGTGGTTAAGTCTCCGGACTGTGAACAACAAGGTACGGGGTTCAAATCCCTGCTACAACACTAACCTTTTTTTGGCAAGACATTAATCTACATTTGCCGCACTCAACCCAGGTGAGGTAATTGGGTACCTGGTATAGCCCTGTAAGTTGGGGCTTTGATCGGATCGGAAGATCGGAGTAACACCCTCGCACCTGAGATCAGTATCGGCAAAAAAAAAATCAGATTTTTTTTTTTTTTTAACCTGATAGGACTATGATTATTTCTTGAAATGCAGTGAAGGGCATTGATAACGGCTGCAAGAGCTAAAGCAAGAATAATAATTTCCAAAGCTCTTTGGAAGCGCATAAGGACGTTAAATCGTAATGTGTAGTGCGCTATACAACAATGGATTATAATTGTTTTGTTTGTTCAGCCTCAACACCTGTCAATGTCGGGCTATCTATATTATGTACACAATGAACTACTCTTGCAATCAAACCTTTGTTGTGGGCTACACTGTTAGGAGTTAGGAGTGGATGGCGATCAGGTTTTAGGTTACATTACACATAAGGCCTGTCTTCATCCGCTCGAGATTGCCAAATACCCACTATTTTAACTATCCCGATCGCAGATTGTCCAGCTAATTTGTGTCTACATCAGCCCATAGTTGCAATTAGCGGGATATTGGTGAAATATTAGTCATAAAATGTGTCTGAAAATTCTTCAAAACTATGGCTCAGATCGCACCAGAGTTCAGTGCCCTTAAGCTCCGCTGCACTACTTATAGCTACTTGCTCCCTCTATATAGCAAACAATGCCTAATCGGTGACCATTGGTCCCCCATGATCCTCTTTTTCTTATATTGAAAGCTTATTAGATGAGATAACCACCTGTCAGTGACCATGCAGGGAGGTCTAATCCTCCTGGCCAAACCAGTGCAGTGGGGCTTTAAGAAAGCATGAAGCCCTGCCACAAGGGATTGTGTGCTTCACATACAGGGTGTACATCAGTTCATACTCCTCCTATATGTACATTCCAAGTTAACATGTTTGAATTATTGTTTCTGGACCACCCTGGTTTTAGGGCCCTCTGATCTTAAAGAGAAGCCCATGGGCCACATGCGCCCCACAACAAAAATTGAGGTAGTCCATTCACACAAAAAAAGGTGGAAAACAGTAGTTACTCAAACGTATGTTCTTTTTTATTTATATCACGAGTGAATCCATAATACTCTACCATTGACAGACTAAAACTCTTGGAATTGTCAATTGCTCACTTTCTATTTCCTTCCTTGCTATATTAGCATTTCATTATTATTTGTTATCATATACTAGTACTATGTTTGAATTGAAACACAACACCATTAACATGTACAAACGTACATCAAACAAGGAAAAAATAGAATAGTATTTAGGAAATCGCTATGGCCAGAATTTTTTTTTTTAATTAAAATAAATATATGTATTAAATGAATACAATCCACGAGGACTGACAGATATTTATAAATGCACTGTACACTTAAAGATGAAGTTGAGTTCTGGTCATGCGATTGCATTGTGAAAGAAACGGTGTGAAATCGACCAGAAAAGGTTGATCATCTAGCATATAAGAATTTGTATATATTGCAAGGTTCTGGAAGAAAACGTATGAAGTAGCACTAAATTCTGTAAATGAATTACCATTTCACATATTATTGTCAACATACTTTTGAAAACAAATAATTGAAAATTCGATGGATTTTTCTGTTTAAAAATTAGCTGTGGGCATTAAACAACCTGTCCGCACATAGAAAAGTCTAGATAAGTTTAATACTAATAATAGTTAATAGTCAGAATCTAATAAATAGTAATTTGACATGGATTAAAAACTTGATACTTACTCTAATTACTCCAGACACAAAGTAACCTGTATTTTCCATCATGCATCATGATTTTACATTTTCCTGGTTTGCCTACAGTCAAAGTCATGACATAGGGACAAACAACGTCAAGTCATTCTTGAAAATTGGAAGCTGAACCTTCTTGTTAACGTCACACTTTCGAGTCGACTTTATTCCAAATATTAAAATCCAAGACTTGGTCCAACATTTTTGAGTCACGACTCAAAATACAACTGCCAATATGTCATGCAAAAACAGCAGCCACTCCATATCTTTTTACAAATAAAATGTCAGTTCTTTTTAATCAAAACCCGAATCTCACTTAGCTATAGTCACGTCACGTCTTATCATTAAAATGTACGGGGAACCTCGGGCCCGGGGTCAGGCAATGCAGCGTTTTGCCGTGAGTGTCGGCCGATATACTACTGACGTACATACAGTGCAATAGCAGTGATGATACACATTTCCGTTAAAATTGACGTCAGACAACTCAATAATTATGTATTGTCATGATCAATAAAACCATTGAGGGGAGGAGATACCATTAAAACTTACCTATCTGTTTAGCATACGTAAAATCTTCGGACATCAGTCGATAACCTTCATCGATTTTGGCGACTATCAGGTCACGTTGGAGTCTTCGAAATGAAAATGAACAAGCAGCCGCTTTCCTTCACAAACACAAATACCGAAAAATAGTCTAGTTTCATCCGTCACTGCACTTATCTTTCACCAAATTGCTTTTCGTTTCCATCTTATTCCAGTGAAGGCTTGAGATCAAGCGGATTTAATCATGTCTCACATGTATTTATATATAAAATTCAGATATAAAATCTTAAGGGCAAGATTTTCCGATCCTTAGAGGCATAAAATCAATCACTTGTCACGTGTTTTAACCCACAAAATAACTTTTAAAATCCTAGTTAGTGGTTTTGTACAATTTAACCAAGATATAAAGGAGAAATTAGGCTCAAAAAGGATAACTTGTCAGAATTTATGTGTCAGTGTATCCTTTCCTCCTTTATTAATAGGCATTCTGTTCTGTCAAAATAAACCCTCGCTGAAGATAAACTTATGATTGGCCTTGAGTAAAGCCTATATTATACAAATCGTGTGTGGTGTTGGTTGTGTACATAAACGACCGTAGCGACCAAATGCGATAAGCAAGCAAGACCTACAAAATAACTTGAGCGGACGGAGAGGGCGAAAGTGATAGCGAGGGATAGGGTACAGTGGAATGATGATTTCTTGGAATGAAGACTGGCGGAGGACGCGAGGGAACTTGACGACCGAGCGAGGAAGTTCTGTTCAGGTCCCTATGGTTCACCTTTGCGACCAGGGGCGTCGCAAAAGGGGGGGGGGGGGTAGGGGTGCGATACCCCCCCCCCCCACCTGTCAGGATATTGTGGGTAAAATTGCGCTGCCGTCGGGAAAAAAGAGAAAAGGGGGAGGGGAAAAAAGAGAGGGAAAGGGAAAGAAAAGAATAAAAGAAAAGGAAAAGAAAAGAAAAAAAAGGAAAAGAAAGGAAAGAAAGGAAAAGAAAGGAAAGAAAAGAGAAAAAAAGAAAGATAAAAAAAAGATAAAGAGGGGGGAGAGGAAAGAAAGGAAAAGAAAGAAGGAAAAAGGACAGGAAAAAAAGAAGAAGAAAAAAGGGTAAATAAAATGGAAACAAGAGAAACGGGGGATGAAAGAGAGGAGAGAGAGGGAGGTAAAAGCCTGCGAGAGGAGGAGTGGGAGTAACAGAGAGAAGGGGGTTGTTGGGTGGAGTCGTCTCGTCGAGGGACCAAGAAAGACACATGTAAATATGTTGCTGTGTCAGGTCAGCTGTGTCGGTATTCTTGCTCGATCCTCGTGTACTATATCAATTGAAAGCAGAAGTTTGAAGTCGGTGAGATATATATTGTCGGTCGGCCGACAAGTTTTTTCCCTATGAACTGTGACTTTTTATCCGCAGTGACAACTTCGAGAGTGACTACAACTAAAATACTTGTATTTTCTCGAAGTTTCACTTTCCTGTAATATCAGCTAAAGAAATCAGAGGTTTAAAATTTTCGGGGAAACTAAAATCAAACAAGGTTTAAGAGTCAACAACGGTACGACGAATCGTCTTCCTTTCTCTATATTGTGATGAAACGCCAAAAATTCCGCGCTTTGCGCGGAAGGTGGAAAACTTCATTAAGACGAGTCGAAAACGGTACAACGAAGCGCCTTCTTTCTCTAATATATTTTAAGGAAACGTCAAAGCTTCCACGCTTCGCGCGAAAGGTTGAACTGAATTCAGACAAATAGGGCTTAATGAGAGTCGAAAACGGTACGACGAATCGTCTTCCTTTCTATATTGTGATGAAACGCCAAAAAATTCCGCGCTTCGCGCGGGAGGTGGAAACTTCATTTAGACGAGTCGAGAACGTGGTACAACGAATTGTCTTTTTATGCCTCCGCCACCGAAGGTGGTGCCGGAGGCATCATGTTTTCGGGTTGTCCGTCCGTACGTCCGTCCCGTTTGACCGTTATCACAATATCTCAAGAACCATTTAAGATTTAAACTTAAGACTCGGGAATAGTATTTATCACCATAGGAAGACGATCTGATTAGATTTTGGAGTACGTAGGTCAAAGGTCACAGGTCACAGAGGTCAACTTATGAAATTCCTTGTATTGAGATTGTTAGCGCGATATCTCAAGAACCATTTGAGATTTAAACTTCAAACTTAAGGATAGTATGTATCACCATAGGAAGACGATCTGATTAGATTTTGGAGCACGTATGTCAAAGGTCAAGGGTCACAGAGGTCAACTTATGAAATTCCATACATTGAGATTGTTATCATGATATCTCAAAAACCACTGGAGATTTAAACTTCAAACTTAGTGATAGTGTGTATCACTATAGGAAAACAATCTGATTACATTTTGGAGCACGTAGGTCAAAGGTCAAGGGTCATAGAGGTCAACTTATGAAATTCCATACATTGAGATTGTTATCATGATATCTCAAGAACCACTGGAGATGTAAAAACTTCAAACTTAAGGATAGTATGTATCACCATAGGAAGACGATCTGATTAGATTTTGGAGCACGTAGGTCAAAGGTCAAGGGTTCCAGAGGTCAACTTATGAAATTCCATACATTGAGATTGTTATCATAATATCTCAAGAACCACTGGAGATTTAAACTTCAAACTTAATGATAGTGTGTATCACCATAGGAATACAATCTGATTAGATTTTGGAGCACGTAGGTCAAAGGTCAAGGGTCACAGAGGTCAACTTATGAAATTCCATACATTGAGATTGTTATCATGATATCTCAAGAACCACTGGAGATTTTAAACTCCAAACTTGTTTAAATTGCTCTATGGCGGAGGCATCATTTTTCGACCGCGCGCAGTCAAAATTCCATCTAGTTTCTCTAATAATTTAAGGAAACGTCAAAGCTTCCGTGCTCCGCGCTAAAAGGGGGAACTAAATTCAGACAATTAGGGCTTATTAAGAGTCGAAAACGCTACAACAAATCTTTTTCTTTCTCTAATAATTTAATGAAACCTCAAAACTTCCTTTAATCAGACAAGGATTAAGAGTCGAGCACGGTTCAACTAATCGTCTACTATCCCTAATAATTTAATAAAACGTCAAAACTTGCGCGCTTCGCGCGGGAGGCCTATCACCCACACCCACACCCACACCCTAATAATTTTTTTTAATAATTAGCAGTTTTCTAGGTGTAAACTTTTTTTTTACTCACATGGTAGAATTAAAATCTCCTCATAATTCCTTTGTATGAAAACTGCGCATTTTGTCGTTTGTACCTTGTCAAATGTGTTTTTTGTGACTTCACAAAAGGTAAGGGTTGCACAATATTGTCTGTTGGGGGTCTGTTGAATCGGATAATTAATCATCGTTATTGATGCATACACCTACAGCTATTTTAGCTAATTTATTGCTTTTTCTGAATATTTGTCTCAATTCGAATCTGTCATCATGAGTGACGAACGTACAAAAAAGATACTTTGAAAACAAGTTAATATTATACCCCTAGAAGATTTTCAAAATATTGATTTTTGTTATCATACAAACTGTCATTCATACTGTTCTTTATGATATACCATTGATATCCTCTCTCTGGTCATTCTTTTCCTCTCTTTCTCCCCCTTTCGATGTCTGTCTTTCCTTCTTTCTGTTTCCCTTTCTGCTTCTTTATTCCTTTCTCTCTCCCTCTCTTCTTCTATCCTTTTTTCTTCAATACCCCCTCTTTCGCTTTATCTCCATCTCACCCTGTTACTAAATCTCTCTTACACTATTCTATTTTGCTTTTTTTCCCCTACTGTCTCTGTCTTCTCTTTGTCAATTAAATACAATCCGTGAATTTGAAAAGCAATCAATATTTTTTTTGTAAACATTACTTTGTTGTTAAAACTTGCACAGCAAATGAGACATAAAAATAGTAATAAAACAATAATCAAAAGTATTACGAAAAATTATTATTCATTTGCAAAAAAAATGTTTTTATTCAAATTAAAAAAATATTCATATCATTCTTGAGGTTAGCTTGTTTGGGTATTGATCTTAGTTTCCTTTGTTTTTCAGTAGTTTCAGTAGTTTCCTTCATGACGTTCCATCCTTAGAAATAGCTCAACCAGGCAGCCATACTGCTGACGAATCTCTGTATTACGCCACACTTTAGTGTACTTTGATTTAATTTCTCTCCACCCCTATCAAATTGTTGGTACATTTTAGATAGTTTTCTTCCTGCAAGTGCACTTTAATTGCTGGTTGGTTTATTTCTTGGTAACCTTTCATCTTGTCTTGCAGCTTACTGCCCTCTGTAATTCTCGATCTTCCTCCTCAATTGTTTCTGTTCTGATGGTCCTCATTGTTTTGAGTCGGTGTTTCATTCCTTTCATCATTAGTCCTCCTGATATTGGCTCCAAGGTATCTTACATCTATACCGCTGTGTCAGCAACTAGGAGCAATAATTATAATAATAACGATAATCATAATAATGGAGATAAGAATGATTTGTATTTGTATTTGTATTTATTAACATTTATTTCCTTCTCAACAGCACAATATAAAACACAATGTATATATACATGATATATGTAACAATTATTTCAACATAGAGTATACAGTAATTAATTCAGATACGGAAGGACGCGAAAACCCGGATAATAATGATAATAATATTAATAATAATAATAATAATAACAATATTAATATTAATAATAATTATTATTATTATTTTAAAAAAATAATGATAATAATAATAATATCAATAATAACAACAACAACATCACCAACAAAAACAAAAACGATAACAACGACAACAACACGAATTCAGTATCTACAATAATAATTCAGCATTATGTTTCCTTGGCTATGTACTTCATGCATTAAAAAACTCAG